GACAAATGGCAAATCTTTGTAACAAGAAAGTCTAAAATTTAATCAGATCATCAACTCTAAAGTGGGAGAATGTTACATATCTTCAATAGGCATCCTTGCTGAGTATGGTAACAAAAAGGAGACAGAGATCCCTCTATATAATGTCCCACATATCATGTTCCAATCAAGTGTGACAACATTTTCTGCAGGAAATTCTGAGGGTATATCATATGCAGAACAACATCTTACCCTGTCGGCAGGCTTGCTCTGAGTCGCATGTGGCTCTGAGCCATAGTGGGAGCTGTTGCTGTGAGAGTTCTCCTGAGGAGAGCCGCTGGTCCCTGCAACAAAGTCATTTATCAAGTATGTGAAAACGCACAATGCTCTGCCTAAAACCCCAGTAACAACCACACCTGAGAAAGCATATTTAAACTTCTTTTTAAATAAACACACAAACGGTTTAGATAGACTTCAAAGTACAGCCTCAATGCAGCAACAGTGGGTGACCTGTGATTTCCATTTTAGTCTAATTTGAAAAATAACCATAAAAGACCATAAAGAATGCAACATGGCTGAGGCAGGCACATGGTGAGGAACTGTCTGGACAACTAAAAAAGTTGATCATGAAATTTCATAAAGATGGGAGAGGGTAGAAGTAGGTACTCGACATAAGCTGAAACACGGGTGCTACAGTGGTAAGGAGGCACAGGAAGAGCTATACACCAATAACAGCAAGGCGGAGTGGTCATCCATAAAAAAATAAATAAATAAATGACAGCACACACAACTGACTATTTACACAACCTTGCACTGAAAAACAGATGGTAAGCACTTCTGACTTGGCACAAGGATTATCTGTGGAAACTGGTGTTTCAGTGACTGATCAGACTGTGTGAAGGACACTTCATGAAGTCGACCACTACGGTCAGTGTCCAGGAAGAAAACCACTGTTCACAAAATGTCACAAAAGCGAAATATCAAATTTTGCATTAAAAGAAAAAAGAAAAGAAGCCCGATGGCTATCAGCAGCACATTCAGTGGTCA